GACTAACGAGAAACAAAACCAAAAACAAAAACAAACGTCAGAATTTCGTTATCGGTTGTTGTTGTTGTTGTTGTTGTTGTCGTCATTCACGAGAAAAAAAAAGAAGAGAGAAAAAACCAAACACAAAACCAAAAAACCAGAAGAAAAAAACCCAAAAAGTTTACCACTCCATATTTTTTCAATTTACAGAAAAACGAAATGGTGGAAAAAAATCACATAACCGTTTAATAATATTTCGTTGTTTGTTTGATTGTTTTGGTGGCACCAGAATCCAGAATCCAGAATTCCTGGATTTTCAATTTTCAATTTTTCTCTCTTTTATTTTTTTAATTATTTCATTTCATTTTCGTTTTAATTTTCAATCGGAAAAAAAAGATAATCTGGATGACCAGAAAACCAAACACAGAATCAGAATCGAAATTCACACACAGGATATATTCTGGAGTGACAAAAACAACAACAACTGATATGAAAAAAACCCAAAAAAATGACACCACCACCAACAACAACAACACATTTTTTTTTATTAGGTCGCGGCTTGTGATTGCAGAAGCAGCACCAAAAAAAAAAAAAAAAACACTAGCAGAAGCAAGTATACCAGAAGAAAAAACAACAACAACAACGAAAATAACCGAACCCGAACCCGAATGATTCCAAACCAAAAAAGAAAAGAAAAGAAAAGAATATTCTTTGTTGTTGTTGTTGTCGTCGTCATCGACGTAATCTGGTATAGTTGTTGTTGTTGTTGGTATATCACCCAATACATGTAACCCAGACATTTTGCGTTTTTTTTCCTTTCTTTGGTTTGGTTTGGGTTTCCTTTCTCACCATCATCTCTATTCTTATCTTGTTTTGTTTGCTTGTTTCATTCAGTTTTTTTTCTACTTTCGTAGTTTTTTTTTTGTTTCGGGACTTTTTTTCGGGTAATGTATGATGATGTTTCATTTTGGTTTTGCGTCGGCGCATTCCATTGTTGTTGGTCGTTTGTTCTGTTGAATCTATCTTTAGAAGCATCCATAAATTCTGTTTGGTTTATATTGCGTCTGTCCGTTTGTAAATAGATTCTTTTTTTTTCTTCTACTTCTGGTTGAAACAAAAAGAACGCATGTGTTATTCGAATGTGTCATTCAGGACCCAAGAATATATTCTTTATGGTTCTATGATTTTCTGTTTCTCTCTCTCTTTTTCAGATAATACCACTACCATAAATTCTGTGTTTAGCGATCATCATCATCATCATCGACAACAAGAATCGACTATCAGATTTTTTCTGTTTTGTTTTGTTTTGAAAGTAAAAATTACCAAGAAGAAAATTAGAAGTAATGATGATGATGACAAACTGGTTATATTCTTGAAAAGAATCACTACCACTACCACTACTGAATCAAAATTATTCATTCATTTTTTCATACTACTACTTTTAAGCCGGGTTTTTTTCGCAAGAATATGGTAGTGGTTATAGTAGTGATGATTCTGGTGAAAGGGAAAAATACAAAGTTTTGAAACGAAAAAAACCCGAAAAATTTTCCAAAATCGTTCATCACCATCATCAACAACAACAACAATAATATCGTTGCTTTCGTCGCCGACAAATAATAATAACGAAGAACCGAATAAAAAAAGAATCCAATCCCGAAAAATGAATGAATGAATGAATGAATGAATGTGGATACAAAGAATATATATTCACCATTTACAGGCAAATGAATTCTGGTTTGCTTTGGTTTGGTTTTATTATTATTCTGGTTTTTTTGGGTTAAAAATGGAACAAAATGAGTGAGTCGGCGAGTGAGAGAGAGAGAGAGAGAGAGAGAGAGAGAGAATGTACCCAGAACCGAACACAATAATGAAATGGATCCCATTTTTATATTCCTTGTTTGAAGAAAAGAAAAAAAAAGAGAAGAACTTAGCGAAAGAAACAAAAAAATGAAATGGAAAACGAGTTCAGAGAGACGAAAATTATTGGTTGTAAGAAAGAAAAAAAGTAAAGA